GATTAAGAACCTTCTATACTATTAAGGTATTGTTACCTTAATGCAAATTGGAATTGATATGGTATTAATGTAATCATAATTCTGCTGGCATTATTGCATGATTTCATTCTAGGAACTGATTTACAAATATTTCACAACTGGGTTTTATACTTTACAATTCTTGACTCAATATTTCTCCTGTGCAGATCTTTCAGACATTTCATCTCTGTGCAAAAAATATCTTGATTTCTGGATCTGTATTACACTGGCACTGTTAAACATTTAAATTACTTCCACGTGCCTATGTTTTTGCAAAGCATTATTGGTGTCCTGATAGGTAATCAGTTGGCCCAGGCAACATTAGCTTTCCATTTGCAAGAAGCCTAAAATCTAAACAGGTTTGACTGAACCTTTGCCTAATTTCTTTCCTACTGATGTGGGTAAGCACATTTTTATGCTTTCTCCTAGCTGTGCAAACCCAGCTAGGTTGCATTATCCAAAGATTACAGTATGAGTGGATAACATTTTGGAATCTAAGAACAAGATCAAATAGACATAGTAAGTAAATTATTGTCAAAGGAGGGATATTATTTCTAAAGACAGTTCATGAAACCATTTCCATAAGAATGCTTTTGGCGAATCTCAGGCAATAGGTGTTGGAGAAGAATAGGTGGTACCAAGAAACAACAACAACAAGGGTGTAGCAAAGTGCATATTTCATAAACATTTGTTACAAAAATATGGCTGGAATCTTGTGGGCCTTTCCACAAATGTGTCTGCTTCCTAACTAACTTATGGCAGAATTGACAGGATTGTTAAGGGACATGATCTCTGCATAGATGTTCAGCTTGAAAGAAATAAGAGGCTGCAAGAGAACTAAGGAAGAGGAGGATTTCTAGTAATTATAGTCCCACCAGGATTAAATGCATCAACCCTGAAACAATTTAGAGGGAAAAATTGTGCACCTTGTCATGATGATATTAGGAAAAGGAAAACATCCTTAGAGTATTTGGTTTTGTTTTAACAAACTGAACTGCCAACCATACTAAAGAGGTAAAAATGTTGCAGTTAAATTGTGAGCCCCGCTCTCATGTTTCTGCTTGGGTACCTCTTTCAGTAATATTGACATACAACACTTGAACGATAAAGAACCACCTTTTATTATGTCTTATAATTCAAGCATTTGATGCAGGAGAAATATTTTTTTTTTCTTTTGTGCCTTTGAGTCAGTCTTGACTCTTGGTGATTGCCTGGACAAGTCCCTGCAGTTTTCTTGGCAAGATTTTTGGAAGTCGTTTGCAATTTCCTTCTTCCTAAAGCTGACAGACACAGAGACTGGCCCAAGGTCACCCAGCTGGCTTTGTGCCTAAGGCAGGACTAGAACTCACAGTTTCTAGCCACCTTGCCAAATTAGCTCTCAATAATGGTAGTAGTGAAGAGAAACTCCAAAAGTTTATGGCCACACTAAATGTTTGCTATAAGAGCTTTTTCCTAATAAATTTCCAAACTTTGTCCAGAATTGATTTATTACATGTTATAAACTTTTCTATACTATCCAGTTCCAAGATTTTGTATGTAGTATGAGTATGCTAGCTTATTTTATCTTACTCCCTGTTGGATGGAAGCTAATTCATCCTTCATGCTATACTTTCCATGTGAATATCTCTAGTCCACCTGTACTCATATGTAAATATACACAGAGTTTAGTTTAATCCTGCACTTTGCAAGCTGTAAAAGAGATAAATAGTGTTGTCAGTGCAATTTCTAAGCGCATGGCTTTTTTCCTTGGAACTCAAAGACTGTCGTAAGAAAAAAGAAAAGAGATATAAAAAGAAATAACTTCCCCCTTCATCATGACAAGTGCAAACAATTTCAGTAACTTATCACCTTTTCTGATTCTACTACAAAAGATCTCTTCTTCCCATATCTCGTCTCTTATCTATAAACAAATTCTTAAAGCCTTTTCATTCAGTTCTAATCAGCAAAAGTCCATTGAGTTACCAGAAATAACATACATATACATATACATATACATATAAATCTCAATCAAATAAACCCACTCTATATTCTTTTCCTTTCCTTTTAACACAGTAACATCACTTTCTCTAAAAATGCAACAAAATATCTCTTCTTTCCATATCTCATCTCTTGTCTATTAGCAAATCTTTAAAGCTTTGTCACTCAGTCTTGGTCAGCAAAAATCCAGTAAGAGTTACAAGAAACAACAACATATATATTTTACCTTGATCAGATAAACCAACTTTACAGTCCTACCCTTTGCATTTAACAATCGTGATCTTTCTCTCTTTAAACAGTGTCTCAGAACTTGATTTCTTTTCATTTTCTCTTTGTCTCATCTCAGAAGCTCCTTCAAAACTTTAACATGTCTCTTTTGTAAATCCAAAATAAAGTTATCCAAGTCATTCTTCTGGATTGTTATTTGTATATCCTTTTTAATTAAGATATCAGGTGGCTTCATTTGTAAATCCAGTGTAACATCTTTTTCCATATCGTTCTTGTAGCCTGACATTTTTAAATCCACTTTTAGATCCACGTTCGAATCGGCCTCAGTCTCTGTTTTGTCCAGTAAAATCTGTTCCCCTTCTATAACCTGTTTTAAATCTGTTTTCATAATAGTAGGCAATCTTACGAGTAATTTCTGAGTGCACTGTTCCCAAATATCCTTGAATTCTTCCAAAGTCAGATTGTTTTGCTCCATTTTGTATTAGTGGGTCTTTTCTCCTTTAATTATAATCTTTACTGGTTCCCTCTACCATCCAACCTTCAAAGTCCCATATCATTATCATTATCATTATCATTATTATTATTTTGGTAATCAACAGCATTTTCCCATGGGAAGGTTTCTCTTAAAAAAAAAAAAGTGCTGTTAATTTTCTGCTACATAGTGATCTGGGATTATATAGGGGGTCTGCTTTACTTTCTGAAAACTGCCTTTGCTTATTAATAAATATGCTGTACTACTTTTAACAGGGTGCTCATGTGTTCCTATGTGAAACCAATTTATTGCTATCTGGAATCATTGATAAAAATGTAATATTATTCTTGGTTTGAAATCTTGATTATCTACTTTGGCAAATGAAACTTTTTAAATCTCATTTTAAAAAATACTATGCTTATAGCAAGATTTCTGCCCAAAAGGCCATTCATGTGGTTTATAATAAACATAAGTTAGCTGCTTAAGCAATGAGTGTCTGAGGACAAATAAAAGTAAAACTGAGACCCAGTTTGGTCTAGTGGTGAAGACTCCAGGCTAGAAACCAGGAGACTGGGAGTTCTAGTCCTACCTTAGGCATGAAAGCCGGCTGGGTGTCTTTGGGCCAGTCACTCTCTCAGCCCAACTCACCTCACAGGGTGGTGGTTGTGGGGAAAGGAGGAAGAAGGAGCACTAGGTATGTTCACCACCTTATTTATAAAAATAATAAAGGCAGGATTAAAAAAAGGAATGTTGCTAAATTGAATTAAAGATCTAGCATCTGTAGGATTGTATGTATATCTTGTTAAACAACAGGGTTCCTAAACCTTAATTATTTTCAGTTTTGTGCAGTATTATAACATAATGGAAGAATGAGAGAAATTCAGCAAAAATCCTAAGGTGAAATGAGAAATTCCTCATTTATCTGACATGATTAAATGATGATATTTTCTAAATTCCTGGTAACTTGATCATTGCTTTACACAGCACTGAACGTAATACATTGAGAATTTCTAATAACAACAATTTTAAATATCATGTAGCTTTGTTTGGAATGTTTACTAAGCCAGAAAATAGATAACACCAGTTTCTCCCAGCCTTGGTTAGGGGATCCAAAAACCCTCACTTTGGGTTGGATCCAGAGAAATATGAACAGAATATGATAGAATGTAATTTCCCATCCTCCTATTGTGTTGCCCATTAAATTTAAGGTAGAAGGAAAATGGTTAAATTCCTTGTGATCTCACACACATGGGTGGCTATATAAATGTGATATATATTTATAAACACACACACACACATATATACACATATAAATTAAAGAGGCCTGCTCAGGTTTCAAGGGGCTCAGAGAGGAATGGCTAAGATCCTATAGCAAGCCAGCCTTCCTCCATGCCATATTACCTGGGGATGATGCAAACAGTTAACCTGCTGTTTCTGAAGGGCATCAGACTGATTGTTAGCTAAGGCAACATTTTTCTTCAGCGTAAGCACAACATAAACATTAACAAAGTCATTTTGTCTTTCAGAAGTTAAGTTAAACTTCTGAAAGACAAAATAAGCGAAATAATTGGTTCATACCTACATTTCACTGTTCTATATTTTTAATTTCTAGTATCTAATTTCACCCAGAAGATTTTAGGGAAATGTTGGATTCTTCCTGTGTTTGTTAATGAAGATATTGGTTTTTAATGTTTGATCTTGAAAACTTAGTCCTCAAATACAATTCTATAATTAAATAACTATTTTTTGTGGGTCGGAGCAGAAGAGTGTTAAACATTAACAGTGACTCAAGGTCAAACTACACTTTGTCTTAAACGCATGTACTTAAGAATGAGTTTGTACTGGACACTTTTGTTCCACCCCAAAAAAGTGTAGGAGTTTGATCTATATTGGTACTGTGAGAAAGCAAGTTAACTCTTACGTCCTTTAATTACTATTATTATTTTGTCCTTTGCCATTATTTCCATCAAAAGTCCCATCAAACTACTTCCCTCCAAAATATAATTGACTGGAAATTGCACATTTTGGGGATAAACAGCTTCTGTGTGGGTGTAATTCTCAATGAGAAAATCACACAAATAAGAAAATATTTAATAAACTCTGTGCTGTCATCTAAACCTGATTAGGGGTTTTGTAAGCTGCTTTTGCACAAGTGCCACATGAAGCATATTGCAGAAATATGTGCTTAGTATAATATACACCTTATCCCTGAATTTCATTGCAATTTGTAGAACAGATTAGACACTGTGATTTGTAAAATAAAAACCAAGAATTTGACCTAATTTTTCAATTTATCCAATTCTAGATCAGAGTTGTGAATATATTTGGGAATCCTACAATTAAGAAAAATGAATTAAACTGGAGAAGACCTTCTTAAAAATAAACCAAAGACAATTCTACAGATTACCAGAATGACAGGATAGAAAGATAATAAAAATGAATGTGGAAAAATTAGAGGAAAGGGTCTTGCAGACACCTTTAATCATCAGGGATGAAAATGGCAACAGATGTGTGAGTAACCCCATTGGGTCAGCCTCTTTGAATGGAAGCACTGTTAGTCATCCTCACCAAGGAGTAGACCATGAAGGCTGTAAAATATTTAAAGATACAGGTGAGCTCAAAAACACTACTTCAAGCCAGCGCATTGAAGAGCAAGACTTGCAAAAAGCTGCCAGTGATTATATTTGCATGGGGACTTCAGACCTGAAAGCCACACAGGACTCTTCTTCAAAGGAACAATTTTACATGTATGCCTTGAATCGGACTTTCCTGGAGCCAGAAAGCTGTAGCAAAGAAAGCCTTGCAACAAAACCTTTTCGGAATTACAGTTCTGGGGAATTAGTACCTTATTGCCAGACAGATCTCATGAATTTAGTACCCCTTGCCTCCAAGGAAAGGAGCACTATTGAAATCCAATATGCATTAGGTAGTGCCCAAATGGAACAGGAAGATGCTACTACAAATGAATCTTTGATTACAATGATAAATTTGGGGGATACAATAACGAAATGTTATGAGGTGGCATGTGTTCCTGTCTCTTCTGGGGAAATAGGTGAAACGTTCACCTGTGGATACCATGCTGGCTCTCCTAACCTAGAAGCTTTCATCAGTTCAAATGCACCAGATACATATCTGGATAAGGGTGTGCAACCTACTCCCCTTTCATTGGCAGGAGATGAGGTCACCAATTATATTGATTTAGTTTCGCAGAATAGTGAACAGCCTGAAAAGCAAGGACAGCAGGATGCTGGTTCTTGCAGTAAGCACTTACCAGAACCAGAACAGTTCAATATGTGCAAAGACAAACATAAGAAATATATGCATAGCACTCCGGAGCAAGATGAACATAAATGGCCAGCTGGGTCTAGGATAGATGATAGTGTAAATGGTGTTTGCCCTTTAGCCATTGAAAGCTTTGATGAGAATTCTGAACAGGAATTTCGTGAAGATGAAGTAATCTTGACCAGAGTACAGAATCTTTCCAAAGGAAATGAGGCCTTGCTGAAGGGACCTGATGAAATATCTGAGCAAATACAAAACGATATACCAAAGCTAGAAAGAGTTGCTTTGTCTGAGCACAACTGCCAAGCAACTTTTGTTGTTTATAGCTCCCCAGCGGATGAACATATCTTAACTTCTCCTCCCACCACAGGATCAAAAAATGCAACTTTTGCTGTATTTTCCATGCCAGATGATACTGGTGATGGATCTAAACCTGGAAAGAATGCTCCCTTGGTAAAAGACCACCCCAGGAGTCCTTCACTTAAAAATAATTCTGAACGAATTGTAGTTAAATCAACAAAGAGATCTCCCTTTACAGCTACTATAACCAAAGCTAGGAAAGCAGAAATAGTAAGTTTTCCAAAACCAAATTTTAAAAACATTAAGCCAAAAGTTGTGTCCAGGCCTGTGTCACAATCTAAGGATAGTGCTGCTCTAAAAACAACTCCAAGATCTCCTCAGCTATCTACTGCTTCCTCTTCTTCCTTGTCTTCCTCACCAAAGCAACCATCATCTTTGTTTGCAGCACTGAGGAAAAAAACTGACTTGGATAAAGGCACCAAAGCAGAAACACCAATGAATAAGACTCATAAGCAACATTTTAATAAACACCTTCCTAGCCAAGGTCTGCATGCTTCAACTCATTCTGAAAATGTTTCTCACAAGGTTCTACAACCAGCGTTAAAGCAGAATGTGGATCAGGTTGACAGAGCAAAGCATCTTAGCCCAACATGCTTCCCTGTGGCTGTACCGTGTTCTCAGAACTATGGTGGTCCACCAAGTGACAGAATGGGTAGTGCAGAAACTTGGATTCAGCCTTGGTCTGTGAGTAGCTGCCAGAGAGCTCAAGAAAATAAGCATTCAAATGACTGTGCAGGGATTTCAACTGAGACATCTACCCAAGAGGTAACAAACAATGCTCCTGGACTAGTGCAGCTTTCTTCGGTAAGGTTTTAAAAAATATATATTCTTAACCCTATCTTCAAGCCAGGTTTTTCACTGATTGTATGTTCCTGAACTGAAAGCTTCTTTATTTCTGAGGATATGATGGTTGTAACCTTGATTTTATAGGTAGAAGGGGAAAAACATATTTTCCCTAAATAGTATTTATTACAAATATTGGCAATTTTGGTTTGATTTTTTAATATAATTTTTATTGAAAGTTTTTACATGATTAAAAGATAAATAACAAATGTATAAAAGAAAGGTAGAAAAAGATTCGAGATAAAAGAAAAAGTGCTAGAAACAGAAAGAGAATAAAATAAAGTTAAAGAAGTAGCTTCCATCTTTCTTACGCCAGTTACAAACTTTTATAATTTCTTCCCCTTTGCAACTAAATTATATAGTTTCCTTCTTACCGTATTCAACCCATTTTAAACGAGCAAACCCATAAATCATTGGTTCATTTTTACCCATTTTCAGCAAAAAGTCCATAAAAGGTTTCCAGTCTTTTATAAAAGTACTTATTGTTTTGTCCCTGATCAAACAGGTCAGTTTTGCCAACTCTGCAAGTTCTGCCATCTTCACAATCCACTCCTCCATTGTGGGTACTTCTATATTTTTCCATCTTCAACCCATTTTAAACGAGCAAACCCATAAATCATTGGTTCATTTTTACCCATTTTCAGCAAAAAGTCCATAAAAGGTTTCCAGTCTTTTATAAAAGTACTTATTGTTTTGTCCCTGATCAAACAGGTCAGTTTTGCCAACTCTGCAAGTTCTGCCATCTTCACAATCCACTCCTCCATTGTGGGTACTTCTATATTTTTCCATCTTTGTACATGTAGTAGCCTTGCTGCAGTTACCATATATAAAACCATGAATCCATGAGTCCTTTCTAATTGTATATCCACAAGTCCTAATAAAAAAATTCTGGTTTCATCTGAATATAGTTTGTAAAATTTGTTGCATCATCGTATGTATTTGTGTCCAGTACTTTTTTGCTTTTTCACATGTCCACCATGCAATGTTGGTTTGTAATTTAATAGCTACAAGCTACATATGATTGTCTTCTAGCTGTTTCTATTCTAAACACCGAAGAGAATTTGTCACACAGAACTCTCAGACTAGTCAGCATCTCTTCCTTGAGGCAGAACCCTTCTTTTATTTTTTTTATTGAGCCTTATGCTGTGAAATTACATCCTATTAAAGATCTGATCTGTCCATCCGCTAAAGGCCTAATACAAAAGAGCTAGTTTGTTTACAATTTGAATCTAATCTAATTATCTAATCTTACTGTAATCTATTTATGGCTGAACATAGGCTGTTTTAAGAATGCAATTACAATAATACAACATAGTGCTGCAAAATAACATTTCTTAGCTTTCAGTTCAGCATTAATTAATAATTTCTTATTTTGCAAATCCTGTTCTACTGAAAGAAGAAATATGAGTAAATAATGTTACATTATGAAACTACTGAGTTGGTAATTTGCAGCCAATTATTTTTTGCAAGAACTGACTTCAGTGATAATTTTTAGCAAGCTTCTAGCAAACTTGCTGAAGCTAGTTAAAAATTATGTGGATGAGTCCGTCTTAAATATTGGTATAAAATTGATAGAATGCTAGTATTACAACCTTAATATTAGTGTTAACATTTAAAACTTCTATATACACATTCACAACTTAGATTTCCAGTAGGGTTTACCCTTGCACTCTTTGATAGCTCGATACTCTGAATGCTGAGCTCCAAGCCCTTTGGGTCTCCATGAACAGCTGAGATTTCATGGGAGAAACTTTCACTCCAACTATCTTTTGGAGGAAGGAGAAACATTTCAGAGTGACTCGTGATGTTTTCTTCTACTTGGAAGCATAGGATAAAAGGAGCTATAACTTTGCTCATCTCAGAAGAACTTGGAGAGCTCTTTGACTTTGTGCTGGATCTTGAAGAAGGTGGAGGTACTGTGAGTTTTTCCATTGCTTCTCCAAAGTGCAACTCTTTGTGCAAAGAGCTTTTAAGTACATCCAAGGAAATTTTTTGCAAGTCAGGGAAAAGGCTTGATGCTTACCACAAATAGTTAACCACAACATTAGATCATTTTGTAACAGGAGCTTATCGTACTCCAAAGTTATTTAAAAGAACACACACACACACAATTAACAAATAAGTGCCAGAAATGATGTTGCAATCTTATGGCCATAGTTGCTTTCTCTGCTTAAACAAGAATACATAGATAACTATCATTTTTTTAAAAGTGTGTATCTACAGTATGGAAAATTTGACAGATCTTTCTAGCACATATAATTGTATGCTCCTTCATTAGCAGTGGTTGCTTTGTGCTCTGCATTGTAATAAGCTAAGAATATATATGCTTCTAGACTTATCCTCCTTATCTCCTCTTTGTTTTTTTCCATATGGTATTAAATTGTACAGGTTTCTTTGTCTAAAGCAGACACAGCACAAGGGCAAAGTTTTCCCAAAGGCAGTCCTGTTCCTGTAAGGAGTGTACCACCATCTAAAATTGCATTCCACTCTAGGAGAGGAAGTGAGAGTAAAAATACTCATGCAACCAAACTTTCATCTCCTCAAAGACTAATTTTATCATCAAACTCTGGTGAGAAACATTTTTGTCTATTATTTTCTTTGCGCAGAATATATGACAACAGAGTGTTCCAATTAGTATGAGTTTGAAAAATGTCAGTGTTATTCTGAACTCATTCCTGTGCAGCCTAAGTTAGTGATCTAGTTGCAATTGTGTGTACTCTGAAGTGTTTGGGTATAAAATGTATTGTATCACATTGTACTAAGCCATAATTTGTTTTAATCATTGTTAGAACAAGCCATTGAGCTGGCATACCCTATTGCAATTGAGTCTACTATGTTGACTCAATTGGGGTATGATTCCAGATTAGGCTGGAGGATAGAAAAGAAAGCATGTAAGCACTGTTGGCCACCCTTTTGAAAAACTTGGCATTTATGTTAAATAGTTATATGTAGTTGACTTGTCTTGCTTTTACTCTTATGGTAGATTGAGGTCAGGAGTTTCAACTCTCTGTCCCAGGATTCACAGTTGCATTTCTTTCTAGGGCCAGGTTGCAGGTGTTTTGCTGGCACCACACTGCCTGGGAAAGGAGTTAAATTAAATCCTCTCCACCTGTACGCTGCTGGGAAAATCCAGGGCTCTGTTTTTAAAAAGTTAAATATAAACCCATGTTAAATCTGTACATAACTATCATGTAATTTGGCTGCTAGGAGGTTGTATTGTTCAAGAGGTTTAATGTTTAGTGTGGGACCAAGTAACACAAATAAATGTTATGGAAAGTCTGGGGGTGGGAACTGAAAATATAACTTGTTTATTTAAATCTAGAGTCTAAACCAGACCTTTACCAAAGCTTATATTAACTCATTTGGAGTATCTTTTATTTCGGTAAACCAGCAACTTTGAACTTGCATGAATAATTGATAGAATTTGGGGATCTGTAATTCCAAATCCCTCTGGAGGGAACCTAGTTACAGAAGGTTGATGTCAACTGTCCTGGTTATTGTGTATATTTAACTATACTGTGATTTTTTCCCCCCTTGTTTGATAATATCAAACCAAACATTGATCAACAGGCAGTGAGATCAAGGTGGGAAATAGTGGTTAGTTCCAGCTGGTGAACTTCTCTACTGAGAAAATGATTTGAAGCTGGCTTCCCTGCAGATATGAACAGCAGTCTAGCTCAGCATACCAAGATGATGCTTCAAGATTTTGTGTGGGTGTTTAAGGTCTCCGCCAGGACAATATACTGGAAAGACTACCATCTAAAACATGCCCATTTTGAAAGCCCACTAAGTACTTTGGACTGTTGTGTCTTTGAAGTGGACTCAGTTGTTAGCTTATCTACCTGTTCTTGGCATGGTCTGTACTAGACTAAAATCCTGAATATCTGAACATAAAGAGTTCTTTATTACTTCACAATAAATATTGCTATTTGTTTCCTCCCTAGTTTTCTAACCATTATTAACTAGATGGTTGGTCTGGACATGAAAAGCATAACTTTGAAAACATGTCATCATTTTGAAAGCATGCTAATGACTTGTTATCTAGAAAAACCTGTTTTAATTGGTCTGGCTTTCCCACCCTCAGTAAAATGGGAAGCATTCCAAAACAATGTGCCTCTCTCTCGTGTTCAGACATGCTGTCTCTGTTTATTTTCCTATCCTGAGCTTTGGTGTAATGTCTTTAAGTAGCCAATTTAACTCCCCTATTCATAAAAATGGCTTAGTGGGAGGTAATCATAGAAAATAAAAAACTGAACTGTAACCTTAGCTTTTTATACTCTACTGTATACAAAAAAGCACACTAGTTTATAATTTATGTGCTCCATCCAATTTTTTTATCACTTTCTTCTTTTTAAGAAGAGGAGAGAAAGATACTGATCTTAAAGAGTAGGGGTAGTACGTATGGTGTTTTGCATTTGTAGCGTTTGCAATAATGAACTTGGGAGTTTGAACTGGGTTATCTTTTAGACTTTGGCTCTTACTGAGAAAATGGTAGGTGCCCCAGTCTTCATGGTGTTTCAAACTGATCATAGCTATTATGCGCATTTCTCCCACTTAATCTTGTAGACCTTGCTAGATTACCGTCTTCAATTTCTCTGGTCCCTTTTGGCTCAGCACCCTTTTGATTGCTGCAGAATCTCTTTGGAGTGTAAGTAGTAGGCATTTTTAGTGGCTGCTGATTGTTTGTGCAAGTTCATCTCTGTGGCCTCTTTCTAAATCTGTCTTATTAAAGACTTTTCATCTTATCTACAAATAAGGGATGATTTCATTATTTCCAATTTCAAAGCCAGTTAGTATAGCCATAGGCAAACTTTTTTTTTCATTATAATATAGGTGGCATTCTAAGCCATTGCTTACATAAAGAGAAAATTCTTTGAAATGTACTAGCAGGGTTTAATGGGTAAAAGAGCTTTAAACAACTCAGGTATTAACTATTAAGACGCAGAGATTTTCTCCATAATTTCAGATATATAAAAAAAGAAACTTAATATAATAAAAATTGAGCAAATGCCATCATTTAGCAGCAGAGATAAGTCAGAGCAGTCTCTCTTAACCTGCTGCCCTTCTAGACATTCTGGGAAAAACAATATGAGATTTGTAGATATGAGAAAGAACTTGGTTGGTCAAGGCTTAATACTAAACATGTTTTTAGTAAACATGATAATTCTTGGAGAAGAGAGAGAGCCATTCACAGGTCTAGATCTCTTTGATAGAAAGCTCAGCCAAGGAATCTGAATGCCTCCTCCTGATACTAATAGAGAGTGAATCAAAGTCCAAGATCTTGGTTGTGCAGCGTTGTATTCATTGTCTCCGTGTTTTAAGTACAATTTAAGGCACGGGGGCTGAACAGATATCTCTGCTCCCTTGCTCAGATACAGCTTGCTAAGTGTTAAAAGGCCATTAGTTTCAAGCTAAGAGACATGATGCAGTGTGAGCCAATGCAGTGCATTCCATCCATAGCTAAAAATGAGCATGGAAAAATTGCTGCAGATACTGTGCAGACTGCTTATTGTTAAAAAATGGCTGAAATCGAGATTGCATGTCTGCTTCAATAGTATGCTTTATGCTAGCCTTTATACTATGGCAGATATCTAAACAGTTCCGTGCTGCGACATCTTGTTAAAATGTTAGCTAGGAATCAGTTGCTGCTCTCCCCAAGCAAGTTGGCTATTTGCATTCTGAATTAGCATTCGTTTTGAAATTCCTATCTGGTGCATACATGGTGTGTGGCTATCATGTTCTGCACTGCTGACAGCAAATCTGATGTTTAGCTATGATTCATTATTTATAGAAAAAACTGAGAGGAATTAAATCTAAACATATCCACTGGCTTTTGATAATAACACAGACAGCTCTTTTCCCCCCACCTCATGATAGCTAAAGAGTTTGGCTCATGTTGTTGCTTAAGCTAGACATGACACTCCTGTATCTTTCATTCCCCACCCCCGCCCCTTTTAATCCAAAGGCTGGCTCCCTGGGGAGACAACATATCAGCCAGAAAGAAACAGCGACTTCAGCCTTTCTCTTGGGTTGACTTTTCTATTCAAAATAAGCTATGCCCATATTAACACACTTTATTAGTCCAACTGAAAGTTTCAAGCTTTTGTGGAGGTAGTCACTTTTCACTAGCCAAGATGGTTAAGTACTCCCCAAAAGCATATCTATCATACTGTTCCCTTTGGAGAAAAGCAGTGTTGTGCAAAGCACAGAACAGGGCATGAAGTAGTAAGACAAAGAAATTAAGGCATTAGGTAAAGAAGAGAAAAAGAAATACTGCTAATTTGAGTTTACACCAACTCTATACAAAATATATTCTCATGTTTTTTAAAGCTCTCATCTTTGAGGGGAAATTACACACTCGATTCAGGCCAACCATGACTTTCTCAGTCTACCTCTTTCTCTTGCTTCATTCACACTTCCTCCCTATATTTGTTTTGCTGTTAACTCCTCATTCTTTTTCTCTAGTTGTCCAAACCACTTCTGAGTACTTGATCATACCTCTTCTTGTTTACTACACACACACACACACCATTTTCCACAGCATTCAGCTTTCTCACTTTCATATAACAAAATGGACTGAACCATGCTTTTTATATGTTTTTCCTTTCTCTGAGAAATACTTAACATTCCTTACAACAGATGTCATACTACCCACTATATGTCTACCAGTATTTGCATGTCTTAAAATTTCTTCATCTATCTTTAGTAAATATTCCTACCAGAGTACACAAATCCATTTTCCTGCTCTAATTTTTATCTGTTTTTGTATAACTTGCAGTTGTTCACTCCATTTTCCATGTCAAACACAAACCCTGGTACTGGATATGTTATTTTTTGAGATCCTCACTGCATCGTATTACGTGAATATTCACTGCAAATAATTGGCATTGTCTACATTCAAAAGTACAAAATTCACACCCCCAGCCAGTACACTCCAAGTATTCCTTACACATCCATAAATGCATTAAGTAATAAAGGAGACATCACATGTCCTTCTCCTCTCCTCAGTGTTGAATCATGTGCTAAGCATTCCATATATTCTCATAAATGCTTAACTTCCATCATGTATCACTTTTCTTGTATTCAGCAATATCAACTGTTGTCCATATTTGCACAAAGCTTTCCATCACACAAGCCTATTTAGTTTATCATTATATAATAAAGTGTCTTTTATATATTCATGTGTTTTTCAGGGACCTGAGAAACAGCAAAAATGTGATCTGCACACTCCGTGCCCAACACAAATAGCCACATAGAATGTCCCAGATTTTGTTCATTGTGGTTTTTCTTACCATTTCAGTCACAATTCTTCCCAGGGATACTTAACAAGCTAAACCTCTTGTAGCTTTTGCATTCAGTCTAGCTACTTTTCCTTATGGATTAACAGAACAATAACAGCATTCTTCCAATCGTCAGGCATAGTTACAGTCTTCACACACATGTTAAACTAGTAAGTTGCACAGCCACTCCATAAGCAAACTGCACCCATATTTTAACATTTCTCCAGTTATACAATCTATACCTGGAGCGTTTCCATTTTTTAAATATCTCAAAGCATTTATTATTTTC